ATCACACAGGGGTAATAGGAGTTCCTTATACATCACACAGGGGTAATAGGAGTTCCTTATACATCACACAGGGGTAATAGGAGTTCCTTATACATCACACAGGGGTAATAGGAGTTCCTTATACATCACACAGGGGTAATAGGAGTTCCTTATACATCACACAGAGGTAATAGGAGTTCCTATCACACAGAGGTAATAGGAGTTCCTATCACACAGAGGTAATAGGAGTTCCTATCACACAGGTACTGGTATCATTCATCCTACTAGGATGTCAGAGATGTGGGTGCCCTACAGTAGACATGTTATTCATGTCATTTCTTTCCATAATCAAAACTAATTTCCTGGGTTTGGAACCAACCTGGTGAACTTTTTCTCAAGGCAGGAAATAATTCACCAGGTTGGTCCCAACACTGAAAGGGAAAACTGTTAGACATTGGACGGAAAGGGCATCAATTTACTTTTTTGTTACCTTCAATCATCTATATGGATTACAAAATGCAACGCAACACATTTCAATTAGGATAACTTAAAACTTTTAATGGTAATGAATATGGAAATTTTGAACACTATGAACGTTGCAGTTGTGTTTTCTGAAACTGATTTGGAGACTTGTGTCATTGTCCTGTAGTTCTGTACCTAGTAGGAACAACATATAGTCTCATTTCTGTAAAACAGATATCTCCTACAGAACAATTCCAGGTTAAAGAATAATGATCATCAACAATTGGGCAAAATGTTCATCACCAAACCCTGTTCAAAATGTTAACTGCAATTACATTCATTCATTTGTTATTGTACACTAATGCAAGGGAGGTAATAAACTCCAGTAACAACAGAGTAGTCGCCCCTTACTACAGTATATACCAATATATCTCATGTTTGCATGTAAATTATGTAAACTGTTCTTGTCACATCTTTGTAAACTATGCTTACCATAAATGTTGATGTTATGTTGGCCCTGATTTAGTATCTGTAAACAGAATGTTATGTTGGCCCTGATTTAATATCTGTTAATAGAATGTTATGTTGGCCCTGAATTAGTATCTGTAAATAGAATGTTATGTTGGCCCTGATTTAGTATCTGTAAATAGAATGTTATGTTGACCCTGATTTAGTATTTGTAAATAAAATTCTGTATCTTGTTTAGTTGCCTAAAGCGTCAAGCACAGAGGACATTTAAAAACAATTTGTCTCTGCATTTGGTTTATTTAATTAACTACAGTTGGCCAACGTTTGTTACTACTGATAGGCAGGTTTTGTTTTTAGATATTAATTATTTGTAGTTAGTGGATAGTCTACATAGTGAATAAAAACATGATCAAGACTCCATTATTTAAATGGCCACTATTTCTTCTGATTGGTTGAGACCTTATGAGTTATGACTTGCATTCTGGTAATTGGTATTTGTCGGATACATACATGTGTAACTTCTGATTTTGCTTGATAATTTTGGGTGATATATATGGTCATGCACACAGCAGGACCCTTCCTTACCTGTCACTGGTCTAGTTTCCATTTGAAATCCTAAATTGTTACGCGGGTGTACAGTCAGTTTTCAAGAGCTAACAAACAAAAAATGACTGGATATAAGATATTAGTTAGTATCACAAAAATTGTCTGCTGTATCTACGAAAAACCAGTGTTTCAAAATGCTAGCTAAAGATTGAAATGTGCACGTGGGCGACATTCTATTTCTATTTCATCGTTAAACTTGATGTGGACCTGCTATATTAGAGCTAACAAGAGCTGTATTAAATGTACCCACTTTACAATACTCAGAGACTCCACATATCTAAAACATATCTCTTCTGTGATCCTAGATGGTAATAATGTTATTAAATGGTTGCATGGGAACAATGTTTTGCAGGATTAACGTTTGATGAACGGGACATAGTGGAGGGCGGGTTTCGTCAGGGAATTCTGAAGGTACTCATCGCAACCTCTACCCTGTCTTCTGGGGTCAACCTGCCGGCCAGACGGGTCATCATAAGGTCACCAGTTGTACATGCTGGTAAAATGATTGATTTCCTCACCTACAAGCAGATGATTGGCAGGGCTGGCCGCAAGGGAGTGGACACAGAAGGTATATATCGTCTTCATTATTTTTCATGAAAGTCGTCCAAGGTTTGGTTTCCTTTTAAGCAATGATTTGTCAACGCTATAGTCATGCCAGACAAAATAGTTCCCTATTCTTTATTACAGGCTTTGGCTGTGGTACGGGGATCCTTAAGTAATAAATCTCATTTAGAAATTCTGTGTGTTGAAGATGCCCAGTTAGTTTGTGATACTGAGTTATATTTCAATCATGAGAATGAGGTGATGCCTTGTTCATGTGATGTCATTGACATATTTCTGCAATATTTTGGTTTAGATACTGGCTTATTTTCTTTTCCGTGTGAATTTTGAAATCATAATAACATAAAATCTAATATTTAATGAAGAAGTAATTGTACACGGGAATATTTTCAACCCTCTAATTTCTGTCTGTGTCTTGCATATTCTGTGTTGATTTAGTTTTACTGAGATTTTAATTACTCTAGTATTGTATTGGACTCATTTATAATTTTACAAGTAATAGAAATAGAATGGGGGGGGGGCACAAGTTTCTTGTTTTATCTCATCAAACATGAGCTAGATCTCCAGATTAAAGTGATGTGATTCAAACATTACATTACCAGTACATGTGTGATAGTCTGTACTGACTTGTCATGGTTTTGATTGTCCAGGTGAAAGTATTCTGATATGTAAGGCAAACGAGAAAAGCAAAGCTGTGACCCTGGTCAGCTCCACGCTACCACCTGTACACAGCTGTCTGCTGAAGGACGAGGGACAACAGCTCAGCTCCAGCCTGAAGAGGGCCATTTTAGAGGTGAGAGACATCATGATGAAACGTATTTTATTTCACAGGTTTCATCAAAACTTCATTATTCCATGCACCATTGTAGAATAATTTTCTCCTTTTTGATTTTGCAACAGACAGACAGTTCAATGTGTAAAAAGGAGATACTGGAACATTCAGATAAAAGTCAGATTAATCATCATTATTTATGATTGTTACTAATTTCGAGTATCAATATTCTGGTAGTGTGATGGTCTAAGGGAGATAATCTTATGTGGAGTATAAGAGTAATAAGCAGTTTGAAATACAGTTTAGGAAATATTTAAGCAAACTTACGAAACTCCAAAAGTCCTTTAACTGCAAATTTCAGAGTGCATGGACTTGAACAGATTCTCACGACCCACATTTTTTTTTTTTACAAAACTACAAGAAACTGTAAATTAAGCTTTGATATTTTATCTATATAGTTTGTTGATGTTCAGCCAGTCTTTTTCTACTTCTCTTCCACACATTGTTTTCCATCTGAAGAGTATTTTTTCTATAACTTGATTTCTGTAGTTATAGTTATATATGTACTAAACAGTCCCTGAACATTAAACAAACAGCTGGTTATTCCTTATAAATGAGATATTTATATAATGGATAGTTTTATTTCACTCATTTCAAGTGCTTTCAAATGCTTCAAACCTGGGCAAACCAGCGCTGATAAATTTTCATGAGGCTGTAACTTTGGCTGTTATTACTGACTTGGTCGGTAATTTATAACAAAAGCATTTTTTTAGTGGAGTAACTACATACCCAACAATCCCCAAACCAAATTCAATACATGTACTATACAAACTGGTGGACATATCCCAGTGTGACGGTATACAGTACATTTGTACCAGATCCTTTTGTAACTGTGCTGATAAACCTTACACATGTCCTCTACATTGTGACGATGTTGTTTACAGATCGTGGTCAGTGGAGTGGCATCGTGTCCTAAGGATGTGGTGACCTATATATCCTGTACCATGCTGGCCGCGTCTCTACCCCCGGACGACCAACAGGCCACCACCATTATACACAACTGTATCACCTTCCTTCAGGAGAATGAGTTTGTGACGCTACAAAAGTCTACAGAAACAGGCTGGTGTTCCTTTATAGTATTCTACTGGTATTTGTTGTTCATGATAACTGATGGTTATTTCCTACTACCATAGCAATGTTAACGACTTATCTGCCTTAACTCATTCACCCCTGAAAACATGTTTTAACTCTTCTAATTCAAAGGTTGGAATAGTTCATTATGAAATTTCAGGGTTGAATGAGTTGGTAATAGTTAATATAAAGGACAAGATCGTAAGCATTTTCTTGAGAGATTGTTTGTATTAAGTAAGAAAGTTCCTTGTCGGAAACATGTGATGTTGTCAGTCTCTCCCAGGGTTCCTTTACTGCCTTGTGATGTTGTCAGTCTCTCCCAGGGTTCCTTTACTGCCTTGTGATGTTGTTAGTCTCTCCCAGGGTTCCTTTACTGCCTTGTGATGTTGTTAGTCTCTCCCAGGGTTCCTTTACTGCCTTGTGATGTTGTTA